AAAATAATAATAAAAAAATTCAAGACATGCGAGAAAACACAGTCCACGACGCCAATCACAATTTATTTATTTTTATTTTTTTAATAATTATTTAAACTGGGAGGGTGTAAATTTTTTTTATATAATTTTCAAACTTAGATCAGACGGTGTTAAGGTCAAATGTCTTGAAACTAACGCCGATAACCGCATTTAGACAATTTTTCAAGTACAATGGGGTAAATCGATGCAATCGAGTTTCAAAATAGGTAAAGTGATATCAAACCAAGGTTAAAGGGGAATCAAAATTTACCCTATTTTCATTTATTTGATGATCATATTATAAGCCACAAGTGAGAACAAGTAGCTTTACCATTTATCCTCATCTTACATTGTAAGGAAATCAGGTAGTATTATATAATGGGGAAATTAGCTGAAAGCTCCTCAAAAATATTTTCTATAGCTATAATGTCAGGCGGATTTTGCCGTTTTTGCTAAAAGTTCTTGTGTATTTTCGCGCTCTGAGTGTGACGCTAGTACTGGAGTATCTCTAACGGGATTGCTTAGGAAAACTAACAATACTCGGCGGCCGGTGATTTGCACAACTTAGTTATATTAATAAGTAACAGTTTACTTATATATATTAATAGGGGTTATTTTACATACCCCCTAGCCACCAAATAAACTAGATAAACCCAAGCCCAAATCATCCTTTGACATACCCCCTGGAGAAGGGAAAGTACTATAATACACTTATATGCAATTTTCGGCCAAACTGCATTCAGCATTTCTGGTACTGTATTTATCATTTTCGCTGATTTATTTATTATTATTTTCTTTTCTTTTTTATAAATAATAATAAATCTGTTTGTTAAATTTATATATATTTATTTTTTTTAATTTTTTAATTTTTAAAAAAATTAAAAAATAAATTATTTTTTTTAATTTTTTTAATTTTCAAAATAATATGTTTGTTGTACTAAAAATAACTACATGTAACTATAGTACCTATAGTAATTCGTAGTTATGTTCGTTTTTTTTCCCCATATTTTTAGTCGATCAATTGTATACACACACGAATACTGGCTTATACAAAAGAAATTCATAAACCCCAATAAAAATTTACAAATGTCAATATTTTTATTATAAATCACCTCAGAACCAAAAAAAATAAAAATTGAAAATACACAAATATATGCATATATAACTACATGTTATTTATTATATATGTATAGTAATGTAAAGTAATGTATACAGTTTGTCAAACACTGCTTCACATGTGACTTCAACCGAATTTTTGACACCTTCAAGGAGAGGATCAATGGCTTTCATAAGCTGCAATTGCAAAATCAAAACAAAAAAAATTACTTAGTTGCAAATCAACAAAATTTGATGAAACATCAAAACACTCAAAAATCAACAAACACTAAGAGATCGAGAGATAGAGAGAGAGGTTATTGTTGGGAAATGCTACAAATTTTAAATCAAACATACAGTGAATCCTCACCCCCCCCCCCCCCCCCTCCTACCAAAACGCCGCTACTAACCACCCACAGTTTCGCGCACCCACAAATGCAAAAAATTATAGAAATAAATCTGTAAACATAAAAATAAACAAAATTACCATCAATATATAGATCTCGACAAGAGGAATCCAACGGTGGGTAGCCCGTCGAATTTCGACTGGTGGAACACAAAGAACACCTCCGGCAAGACCACCGTCGTCGAATGAAAAAAAATTGCAGAAACAGATATGTTCTCCAAACTGAATGAAATCACCACCAAAAGAAAGAGCTCGAAGAGAGGATTCCAACGGTAGTTAAACCATCGAATTCCGACCACCGGAGAGAGAGTTATGGCTCCGGGAAGTAATTTCACCGGTGGGAGGTTTGTGGAGGCGGGATTTTGAATCTGAGAGAAGAAGAGAGACCGAAATGTGAGTGTCTAGGGTTTAAAACTGATTTTAAAAGGGTATTATAGGTACTTCAGAGGGACCCAGGGGGATATGTCAAAATATTTTTTCGAAATTAGGGGGGTTTCCCTTAGAGTGTAATCCACTTGGTAGTTAGTTCTATATAATTTGGGAATGAGGGGGGTCTACAAAATAATCCCATATTAATAAGTAACAGTTTACTTATATATATATTAATAAGTAACGATTTAGTTATATTAAATTATTAATAAGCAACATTTTAGCTAAAAATAAACTGAAAAAAACTAAAATAAAAATAGATGCATCCCACAACACACACAACTTACACAAACAACTTACAAAACTTATTTGCATAGCTTAGTTACATTAACGAATAATAATTTAGAAAGAAAAAACTATGTTTTTTCATGTATTTAACTATGAAGTTAGACAGTTTAGAAATATTATTTGCATAGCTTAGTTACACAGCTAATTAATTAAAATAAGCTGGAAAAAAAAAATTTAAATCTCTGGTTCGTAAATCACCACCAATAATATCATCACTATCACTATCACCAAATATTTCTTCATATTTTTCCATTTTGGTTTCCATGATTAGGTTGCAGCGGAGATAAAATGAGTGTAATCAAAATCGTATTTGTGTGCGTGTGTGTGGTTGTGTATGTGTGTATGTAGGTGTATGACTGTGTGGTTGTGTAGCAAAGCTTCGATGATGGCAGCAACAGAGAGCGAGAGTGGAGCAGATTTGACGGATTGTAGTGGAGTTGGGAGAAATTTGACAGAAAACAGTTAGGGTAGAAGCGATTAAGGCGCGTGCGAAGAACGAAAGACTTTTAGCAAATTGCAAAAGTTCGACTGTCCTGATCTGGAAAACTATTAACCCTCATGTTGTTTACCAAATTACCCCTTGTACTATAATATATTATGGTCTCAATATTCTCTTTCCAATATTGATGTATTTTTTGTTCGTAACTATACATTATTGAACAATATAAAAATTCTTGCTAACTAATTACAATATTGGAAGCAATTTGACGGGGAACATTTAGGATAGACACGATGAAGGTATGTGTGAAGAACGAAAGACTTTTAGCAAACTCCAGAAGTCCGATTGTCATAATTCGAAAAATTATTAGCGGTCATGGTTTTTAGCAAATTGCCCCTTATACTATAATATATTATTGTCTCAATATTCTCTTTTCAATATTGACGTATAACATGAAATTTTTTGTTGTAATTATAAATTATTGAACAATATAAAAATTATTGTCAACTAAATTACGAGTAATACATATGAATAAATTGTAGTTTTCTAATATGACCCAATTAACTAATTAAATGTTCTAATTTGATGGCCGTTAAACCCTTCATATAGATTAAATTTCATGTATTTAATGTAGACATGGTATAAATGCGAAGTATTGAATCAATAAAGTAACACAATAACATTTTCAATAGTTAAAGTTAAACAATAAGAAGTATTTAATATGTCTCTTCATCTTGAGTGCTTTAAATTGGACTTATACTAGGGCTCAGCAAGTTGGACTTATCAACATGTTAAAGCAGTCAAACTCGAGAAAAACCAACCCGTTGGTACCAGATGAGTACATCCATCAATAGTATTGAGTCAAGAAATGGAGAAGATCCGCGAATCTGGATAAAAGACGGGTTCAATTTTTTTTTAATATTCGTCCCGCTCCGTGATACAAAACGACGTCAATTTATTGATATAATGTAGTATAATAAATTAATAAATTATAGTACATAAATAAAATATCTCTTGTATTTATATTTATAACAAGGACTGTGTCTCGTATTGTCTATAGTTATCTATTTTTTTTATTCTTGTCTTATAAGCTTTGAATTGAGTTACTCTTCAATTGATTTCTGGTTAGAATTTGAATTAATTTTAATTTACTCACGACATTTATCATCGACATTATTCACGTTAGTTTCAATTTCAGATTTTACGTTCGGCCATTCATTTTAATTTATAAGTAGTTTCTCGTAAAACTTAGAAATTATTAAAAAAATAAAATAAATGACAACGCTTCAGTGGTGAAAGTTGGATTCTAAAATCTGTTGAAAACTCACAAGTTTGACTCCTTAAAATCAAGAATCGTAGTTCGACGGGATGAGAATGGATTAATCCACGCATTCTAAAAAAGGTCAAAAAGAAAAATGGGGTTGTGAAGAAACAACAAGATCTTTCTTTTGTCCCTTCCAGGCGATCGGAAAATAAAGAACTGGTTAATATATTCAAGATAATTACGTATTTGCAAAATACTGTCTCAATTCATCCTATTTCATCAGATCCGGGGTGTGATAGGGTTCTGAAGGATGAACCGGATATGGACAGTTCCAATAAGATTTCATTCTACGACTTGCGCAAAAAACTATCAAATATATTAAAAAAAAAAAAAGTCATATATGCAATATTTTATCCATAGAATCAAAATATCAGAAACCAAAACTAGGATTTTGATTTTTCGAAAGATCAACTCAATTAAAATAAAAATAAAAATAAAATGGAAAAAAGAGAGAAAGAGCACTGATTACCACGAAAACAGCGCACCAGAAAACCAAAACACGATGACGATGAATGAAATTAAGCAGGACAATATTAACAGCCGCTTTGGTACGTGTCTGAATATTGCTTCTTCATTTTTTTCCCAACCAACTATACATACACATATACACACACACACCGCCATCACTCTCTCTCTCTCTCTCTCTCTCGTCACCTTTCTGCACATTTGCCTGACAGTGCCAAAATACCTTTGCTACCTGATCTTCTCAACCCCTTTATTTTCTTTTCTTTTTTAATTAATATATTTCTCTACTAATAATAAATGCTTCCACGAAACCAGTAATTTCTCTTACATATATACATACACACATCATATATATGTTTGTGTTGTACTAAGTATATATATATATACATGTTATTCTTGGTTGTATATCAGACAGACAGACAGACAACGAATATACTTGACGATCCTTTGTTAAAATTGTGTGTTCTTAGTTCTTACATAAATACAAACATATATATATATATTTATCATCGTAATTTCCGAAAAAAAGAAAAAGAATGGGGAGAGTGAAATTACAGATAAAGAAAATAGAGAACACAACAAATAGGCAGGTGACTTTTTCAAAGAGAAGAAATGGGCTTATCAAGAAAGCTTATGAACTCTCTGTGCTTTGTGATGTTGATGTTGCCCTTCTCATGTTTTCCCCTTCTGGCAGAGTTAGCATCTTCTCTGGCAATAGCAGGTTTCTCTCTCCTCTCCTCTTTCTCTCTCCTCTTTCTCTCTCTACTCTAATTTCTTGGTAATTTTTTTTTTTTTTTTTAATTTTTTTTTAATGTTTTGTTAATTTGTTTTGTTGTAGCATCGAAGAAATCATGGCACGATATGTCAATCTTCCCGAACATGAAAGAGGAAGGTAATTAATAAATATTAAATACTAATTAACCAATGAATATTCTTATTATATATTTTGTTTGTAATATTAACTTGTTTTATCTAATTAATTTTGTGTTGATATGTGTATATATCTCTTGACGCAAATTACTCTTACAATAACAGGCTACAAAATCAAGAGGTAATAATAAATAATACTTTGTTGATTTTTGTCTTTAATTTTAATATTGTAAATATATTATAAAATTGAATTAATTGAAGTATATATATTATAAAATTGTAGTATCTACAAAGGGCTCTTGGAAAGTTGAAATCTGAAGCAAATCCAACTTATCAAGCAGCTACAAGGTACAAAGATCATATCCATTTTTATTTTTTATTTTTCAATTTTTTTTAATATTTGATAATTCATATATGTATATATGATAACACAATCGAATTAATTTTCGTTTTTACGATTGTTTTCTTGTTGCCATGGAATATATATATGCAGCAGCCCAGCTAGCATGATTGATTCTCAAGTTGAGGTTTGTTGCAATATATATTGATCATCTTCTTATGTTTAATTTTATTTTATTTTTTATTATTATTTTTTTATTTTTTTCGATTTAGAGAGATTAAATTATGTGACGGATGATGAAATTAAATACAGGAAATGCAACAAGAGTTACACAAATGCAAGTGCCAAATTGAAGACATGGAGAAAAGGCTAAGGTACTTAATTAATATAGAGCAAATAAATCTTTGTACCCTGTCATCCAATTTTTCTGAGTTGCCCTGTACTAATTATCTTTTAAAAAAAAAAGAAACTACAATTTATTTTATTTTATGTTATTTATTATTATTTTATTTCATTTTTGCTATTATGTACAGGATTTACGAAGGCGATCCATCGGAAATCACCACATTCTGTGAGGCTGATTACAGGGAACAAGTTCTTGAAGAAAACCTGAAGCAAATCAGGGTACGCAAGGCAAGTAAACTTTTGTTTTATATATATATTATATTACAAGTAACCTATTTATTAATTTAATTTCCTATGGCTAATAATCTTGTTTTTTTTTTTTTAAATTCAACAGCATGTTCTTCAGGACCAGTATACATCCCCAGTTGCACAAACATCACAGGTTCTTTGCTAAATTTCAGAAAGAAAAAAAGAATATCTTGTTGCCGAGTTTCGTGTAATAATCGATATATATGTGGAAATCGTAGTTAATTAGTAACATTGGAGACGGGGGCGGATCCAGACCATATTGTAAGGGGGGTGGATTTTTTTTGGAAATAATACATGTAGCTGTAGGCAGGGCGGACCTAGGGGCTTTTTGGTGGGGGACTAATATATGGGTGTGAATTAAGAGAAGAAAAAAAATATTTTTCATGGGCTAAAATGTACTAAAATTTAAATCTTGGGTGTGTAAAAGTCTATAAATGAATAGATAAACACCAAAATAAAAAAATAATAATAATAATAATAATAATAATAAATAATTCTACAGGTGCGGGGCCCCCCAAGCCTACATATGGGTCCGCCCCTGGCTGTAGGTTAAATTTTTCAGGGGTTCAGGGGCAACGCCCTGATTTTTTTTTGAGTTATTCATAAAAAGTTGCTAAGATAAGTAAATTCACATAAAAGAATAGAGAAGAAAAAAAAAATTGGGGGGAAAAATACATATTTATAAAATATATATCATGTCAAAAAGTAATTAAAAAAATTTGGTTTTTCGCCTTTTGATTCGTTACGCCGCTGATTGGAGATATATATTTGTGTGTGTGTAAAGGTGATGAATCTAGCGACCGAAAGTAGAGATATAAATGTTTTGGGGACAAGTAATCAAGACAGCTTATTGGATTGGCTCCCACAGAGAGATCCACAAGTTCAAATCCTCAACTTCTTGGATTCGAATGGCCTTCTTCCTATGAGGTTCGATTTATATTTATTTATTTATTTAACTAAAAAAAATGAACACCATATATATTTATTCGACTTTGACAAATGATTTATATGCAGGGATCAGAATCAACGGATGGATAATATGATGCCGTCATCACTAACGCTAGTCCATGCACCTACGATGCACGTTTACAATCATTTGAGCCCGGCCCGAAGCATGGAGGATGATGCACAGAGGCCCGAATTCGGGCAGGCCATCGATGTTAATCTTTCTCCGTGGGCCGAATTATATCCTACAGGTTTCTCACTTAATTAGCCGATCATGAAACTATATTATATATGATCATAATTGTTATTGATCCTAAGATAAAAATTAGTAGAGTTTATTGCATTCAGCACCCCCTGTGTTTACTCTAATTACTAAATAAAGGACTCCTCGTTTTATTAACATTAGCAAACGCCCCTTAGAGTCTCGTCATTAATTAGGTGACTGTATGCCAAAAGAAAATAACATCATAGAGGGGGTGTTTGCTAATAATGGATACGCGAGGACCTTTTTAGCAATTCTACATAACACATGGGTTTTAAATGTATGAACTCATAAAACTATTATGTTCGTTGATGATAGATACTGTCCGTCTGATCTACATAAATAACTACGCACAAAGCATACATACACATAGGTGTCACCAAACACACATACACATGGGTGTGTGTGTTACTATGTGTAGATCAATGGTGTATTTCATCAGGTGTAGGTTCTACAAAACTGTCTATAGATATATTGTGTCGGCATGGATTCTTTATTCCTTTCGATACTAATTCAACTCCGAAAATGAAATCCCGCATTTCGTTTTGAGTTTCATAATTTTAATTTTTACGATATACATATCTAATTAATCAAGATGGAAAAATATATTGTGCATCGTTTGAAAATTGAGCTTCGATATGAGGCATACTTAAAATCTTTCCATTTGGAATATTGACAGGAAATGACCCTTTTCCGACGTCGCAACCGAGAGAACGGGCGCTTCTTGAACTATTTCTCTCCCAGCTTACACCTGTGAATCAAGATCATATTTGATATTTTCCACATTATTTGGGTAGATTGCAATAATTTACGAAGTTCCTGGATATCGATCTATCTATCTAGTTTAAAATCGGCTTTCTTATAGTGAATACTTTATAATGTATAAGAAATTGCTTTATAATATTCAGTTAAGATGTACTTCTGCTCTTATTGTTAATTTGGGCTAGTTTCAAATTTTATCTTTTATTGGTATGTAGTTTTACTTCACTACATCGTTTCAATTTTATTGGTACCGTTCACAATATCATTTTTCTTTCTCTCTATTAAACCTCTCCCTTTATCACTTCTCTTTAAAATTAATTCAAATGCTCTTATTAAAGAGAATGATCAATGTACTTTTGTCTCCCCTTTTGTTAATAAATATCAATAGATGTATGTTTGTTTTTTCGATTATGATGAACCGTAGGTACAAAAAGGTTTTTTTTTTTTCTTTTCGAAAAAGTAATAGTTGCCGTGCTATATTAATAATTAGCATGCATAATGAGCCAACTTGAAATGTAATTTTGACCTAATAGTTTGAATTTGGGAACATTTAAAACATCACATTTATAGTCTTTTGAGTTAATTTTTTTAATAAAATTTTAATCAGTTAGATTGAATGTTGGGTGAGAAAGTTGTGCACGAGTCATGACTAAACAAACACAATAATAAGGTCATTTCATGATTTTGCCTATCTTATAATTCGATTTTGGAAAGAAAAATAACTCATCAAAGTCGTAGTCTTTTGAGTTAGCTTTTCAACCCATATTAAATGAGTTAAATTAAAGACATTTTGAGAGGGTTTTGCATAATTTTAACGGACATTGTCCCATGTTTAAATCGGCTGTTGCTCTTTTTTAACTCGCGCCCAAAGCAGGCGTGGATCTTCTCCGCCCGTGCTTAGAATGGTCTTTGCTCCCTCTCCACTTGCGTCTAAAACGGTCATGGATCTCTGCCCACGCCCAATTTATTGCAGCGCAGTTTTGTGCTAACGATTCTTCATTAGAAGGTCTAACAATTTTAGTCTAGATGATTGCAATGTTAACCGCTGAGGCATCGCCTGAGTGGTATTGGGGGTTGGAAGGATAGTATAAGATCAACGATTTTATACCCTTTGAATTTCAATTGTAGGCCAATATAAGTTCAATTTTTAAAAGAAAAACATGCACTATTAAATTTTACTTGACCTTTCGGTTGATTCGTATGCGATAACTAACGCATTTTTTCAATTTCAACAATGGCAAGATACAAAAGATGCGATAACGAACGCATTTTATACGACCCTTTGTTTACCCGACGGTTTTAGAACCGTCGTATAAACACGTATTTATGACGCTTTTCAAAATATTGTTGGCGCTATAAAACCGTCATATAAAGGTGTATTGTCGACGCTTTTTTAAACACTCCCAGCTAACTTTTTTACCGTCATATTCCAAATTTGATGAAAATCCATTTTCAGTAGCAAAAGAATAATTCCAAATTTGTTCGAAAAATTGAGGAAAAATGGAAACAAGAATGAAAAATGCAAATCATAATGCAAATTTGGAATGAAAAAAACTTGTCTCAAAGTCGGAAATTTTCAGATCGTAATCGTCGTAATTCGAAAATTCTAATTTTTTCGTCACCTATAATACAAAATGCATAATAATATTTATACTTTATAATAACTTTCAGGGGAAGAAAAAGTCGGAATTTTTGGAAATTAAAATTTGGGCCGGAAATTGAAATCTAATATGTATTAGATCTCGGAATGAAAAATAAGCATTGTTCCAGAACCGAAATCTTTTGGATCGATATCGCCATAATTCAGAATATTTATTCTACTTTTCACTCATAGAAGGAATGATTAAGTCTAGGGGTGTGCACGACTCGGTTCAATTGATTTTTTTGGCTAAAACCGAACATGAACCGAATATATCGGTTTTTGTAACATTAAAACGTGTATGTCGGTTTTTTATCTGTTCGGTTTCTTTCGATTTCGATTTGGTTTCGGTTTTTTTCAGTTCGGTTTCGGTTATTTTTCGATTCAAGAGTAACTATATATTCAAGTTGTACAAACAAAAGAATACAATTACAATTACGTACTTTCACAACTTACTAATGCAATGAAAATATAAAATCTTTAATCCCATAGGACTTAACGTAATTTAGATGATGTATTATGCTTCATTATTTTCCTTACTTTCATCTACCACATAATTAAAACCATGAACTCAAGTAAATTTTTAATTACTAAATAAATAAAATACAATGTCTCAATTTATGAACGAACGCTTAGAATGAGACAAGTAATTGAAAGATAGAAAATAAAAAATAGGGTAAAATAATACATATATTTATAAAATGAAGTCATTTTATAGTTTCGGTTCGGTTCGGTTTTTCGGTTCGGTTATTTACCTTTCCACCATACCGAACCGGATAATTCGGTATTTCAAAAATGAAAAACCGTACATGCGGTTTACTATTCGATACGGTTTGAAACGGCTTGATTTTTTGGTTCGGTTTTTCGGTTTTTTTGCTCACCCGTAATTAAGTCTTGGTGGTGCAATTTCACCTCCAAATTATCTTAATTTACCGCCAAATTCACATAAAATATCATAAATACCCTTCAAATTTCTAATACCCCATATTTGCTTAACCCTCCTCATATTAAGTTATTAATTTTTTATTTTATTTTGCACTGAAGCCTAAAAGGAGGATAAAACAAGTTTCTAATAAATAATAATCATCAAATTTGAATTAGTTTCTGGGCAGATTGTACTTAATGAAAAGTAACTCCTTTTTCTAAATTTTAATCCGCAGAAAACAATAATATCAAAAATATCTCTTTTTTTTTTTTCAATACAAGCGATCTTAATTTATTTCTTAAAAAACGTAAATTTCTGCTCTTTTTTACCTTCCGGTGTTTTCTTAGACGAATGTATTGTTCACTTAAGGTGCATAGGATGTGACCGTGTGATTATGTGGTCAAGATTCTTGTGAAAAATGGTAGAGTTTTTTTGTAAAAAATAGTTTGGTGATGGATAGGGGTGGAAATCGGAACAAAATTTCCGATTTCCGCCGAATCCGATCCGAAAAATTCCGATTTTGGAAGGATTTTTTCAATTTCGAATTCCGAAATTCCGAATTCCGAAATTTCCGAAAAAAATCGGATCGGAATCGGAAATACATAACAGAATTTCGGAATTTCCGAATTCCGATCCGAAATTATTTCCAATTATTTCCGATTATTTCCGAATATTTCCAAATATTTCCGATTATTATTATAATATATATATTCACACACAGTAACAAGTAAAGTGGACAAATATATTATTATTTATTACTTTATTTTCTAAACAATTAAAATGTAAATTCTAACCCTAATTGAAGTTACTCTCTCATTCTCACCCCAGTCCTCACGCCGCTCCCCACTATCTTCTCTCTGCCTTTTGCTTTTCTCCCACCAACACCACCCTCAATTCTCCGTCAACCACCACCCGCGCCTCCTCTTCTCTCCGCCAGCACCAGCGCCGCCCTCTTCCTCTCCATCGAGCACCAGCGTTGCGCTGCCCTCGTTATTCTCTCCACCTTTTGAACCGGCAGCGCCGCCCTCTTTCTCTCCACCGAAAACCAGCCCCACCGCCCTCGTTCTCTCCGCCGAGCACCAGCCCCGCCGCCCTCGTTCTCTCCGCTGAGCACCAGCCCCGCCGCCCTCGTTCTCTCCATCGAGCTCCAGCCACGCCGCTCTCGTTCTCTCGACGAGCACCAGCCCCGCTGCCCTTTATTTTGTTTTCATTTTTTTTCTTTTTTAAATCCGGAAATTCCGAAAAATCCGAAAATGAAGGATTCCGAAAAAATCCGATTTTCCGAAATTTCCGAAAAAATCGGAATCGGAATCGATTCTTGAATTCCGAAAAAATCGGAATCGGAATCGGAAGGCATTTTAGCCTTCCGAAAAAAATCGGAAATTTTCCGAAACACCCAAATCCGATCCGATCCGTCAGATTTCCACCCCTAGTGATGGACAATTTATGAATTTATACAAAATATAAGTAAAAGATAAAAAAATATCATAAATTAAGAAATATATTTAATTTAGATATTTTAAAGATGAAAATAGCAGAATCGTTTTTCTTTTTAAAGAATTCTTAAACTCTTATAAGAAAATTTATTAAGGCAACGGCGGTTCTTACCTATTGGATGAAGAAAAGGTATCTTATAGAAATATAATTTTTTTATGAGAAAATTATAATTCTTAAAATAGAAATATAATTATTTTATTTGTTATATATTCGTTGTAGATTACAATAACAAGAAATCCTTAATTAAGTTTTAGAATGTAACTAGTATCCCCATGACCGGGTAACCAAAACTAATCTCCCGCCCAAATTCCAATAAATGTTATCATTTTCCAATTCAAGACAAAGAAAATAGAGTAAATTACAACCATCTCCCTGATATAAAGTTTAATTACAAAACTCCCTTTCGTTTAAAAATTACATCAAATCCCCTAAAGTTTGTAAATTTCTTACATCCACCTCCTTACGAAAGGGTGTTAATGCAAGAAATCTACAAACTGTGGTGAGTGAATGTAATTATGGAAATATAAGGGGTTTTTTCGTAAAAAAACATTATCTAAGGGGCGGTTGTAATTAAAGAAAAGAAATAAAAAATAAAAAATTCACATCCCAATTAGTTTCTACTCTCGGCGGGCACTCCCAAAAATTGAAATTAAACAACAAAAATGAAAAAAATGAAATCAAAGTCAAAAGCCTTTTTCAGTATTTGTTTCAAAGTTTTTTCCAAAAAAAAAAACATCCCTCCCACCTCAAAAAATTTCAAATACTATTACAATGGCGGTCGAAATTCGAAACCCTTATTTCATTTCAACCTTATAAACACACACACTCAAACCCTTTCTCTCACACTCACAACAAACAAATTCGATCGATCTACCTTCCTATTATTTTTTTTTGGTTTCAGTTTCCTCCATTTAACAGTTGTTTGCAATGGCCGACCAAGGAGGAAACTGCGTGAGAGTCACGCGCTTGGCGGCGAAGAAGAGAGCTGCCGGAGAGGCAATGCAACCGCAGGAGAACAAGAAGAAGCGAGTGGTTTTGGGCGAGATCCAAAACATTTTGTCCGGTCTGGATGGTAAAAATCAGAATAATTACCCAAAGGCGAACGAGAAGAAAAGGAAAGAGATTCGTGTGAAGGTGACGAAGAGTTTGAAGGAGCGAAATGCTTCTGGAATTGACGTTAATGGCGAACGCGATGATCCACAGATGTGCGAAGCCTATGTTTCTGATATTTATGATTATCTTCGTAATATGGAGGTGAGATATTCAATTGGGTTCTCTTCCTCTCTCTCTCTCTCTCTCTCTCTCTCTCTCTCTCTCTCTCTCTCTCTCTCTCTCTCTCTCTCTCTCTCTCTCTCTCTCTCTCTCTCTCTCTCTCTCTCTCTCTCTCTCTCTCTCTCTCTCTCTCTCTCTCTCTCTCTCTCTCTCTCTCTCTTAATTTGTGAAGATCTAATTTTAATGTTTTCTCAGTCTAAATGTAGTTCTATCCTGAATTGAAATTGAAATTTTAATTCCAAATCATAATTAATTTGGGGGTTTAATTTAATTTTTAAATTGCAGATGGAGGCAAAGAGAAGGCCACTGTCGAATTACTTGGAAAAAATACAAAAAGTGATGACACCGAACATGAGAGGGATCTTGATCGATTGGTTAGTCGAAGTCGCGGAGCAGTACAAGCTTTTATCGGATACGTTATACCTAACCGTTTCTTACATCGATCGATTCTTGTCTACAAACACTGTTGTTCTGAAAAACCTCCAGCTTCTTGGTGTTTCTTCAATGCTCATTGCCTCGTAAGCGCGCCACGTCATCGCCCCCCTGAATCTCTTCCGTTTAACCAAACATGTTGCATTTTTTTTTACTTTGCTGATTTTTTACTTTTTTACAGGAAATACGAGGAGATTAGTCCGCCGCACGTGGAGGATTTTTGTTACATCACCGATAACACGTATACGAAGGACGATGTACTGAAAATGGAAGCCGACGTGCTCAAATCGTTAAATTTTGAGATCGGAAATCCTACGGTGAAGACATTTCTTAGGTAAAAATCGAAATTAATATTTTTATTTTATTTTCGATTTATTGGATTCTTTTTTCAATTTGGCTGAAAAAATGTTTTCATTTTTTTTTTTTGAATTTTGGCAGAAGATTCACCAGAACTATTCAAGAAGATTATGAGGTGGGCTTACAAAATTATTTTCGATTTTTTTCGTCGAAAATTGAAAAATGATGTAATTCTAATATATGTATATTTCGTCTTCTTACAGAGTCCCGATTTGCAGTTTGAGTTCTTGGGTTATTACTTAGCAGAGCTAAGCTTGCTAAATTACAACTGCGTGAAATTCTTGCCTTCGTTAGTGGCTGCATCGGTCGTATTTCTCTCAAGATTTACGCTCAATCCTAAGCTAAATCCATGGGTACGAACTAGACAATATTTTGAAATCCAATTAACCCGCTTTATTTTTTATCGTACCTAAACGAATTTGCGACTCGCCTGCAGAACGAAGCTCTACAACGTTGTACGGGATACAAAGCTTCGGAACTTAAAGAATGTGTCGGAATTCTTCACGGCTTGCAAACGAAAAAAATATCCCCATCTTTGGTTGCTGTGAGAGACAAATACAAGCAGCTAAAGGTTTGTATTAATTTAAATCTCGTCCTTGATTTTCTATTTTTTTCTTTTTTGGTCTATGCGATGAATTTTATAGTGGTTGATGATTGTGTAACTAAAGCATTGGTTCGTTTTTCGAACAGTTCAAATCTGTGGCCGCACTTTCTTTGCCTTCGGAAGTACTGCGTTCCGTTTTCGATGGGATCAAAGATGAATAATTCGACATTTTGAAGTTGTGACGAAGATGTATATAATGATGATGTCAAGTTAGATTAGTGCCCTCTGCCCATTGCATTCATTAGTCATTAGTCATTACTAACACAGACAGTAATTTTTTTATATTTTGTATTTTTTTTCTCGTATTTTTATTTGTATTCGTATTCGTTTTCGGTTGTGCCTTTGATATATGTTGGCAATTTTGGTCTCAAAGCTCTAATATTGGTCCTCTGGATATGTTGAATGCTCACTCATTTCAGTGTACATAAATCTCAATTAGCTCAAAAACTAAAATTAACGAAGAAGTTTCGATATATACAACGTTAATTATTTGAAGGCACGTACTTTAAGTGAACAAGGACAATATTTTCTTTCACCTAGCAAATTTTTGGGTACAAATATGAAATCCCTAGAGTACAAACTCATTAATTTGTATTTCGTTTGAAGATAAGTTTCTTTGCAATTACTTCCATTAATATTATAACTTTTAATCACCTTTTTCTCTATAATTTTTGTTTTCTAAAATATATTTAGCACATCTTCGGTGGTATCATTAGCTTGTTGATGATTGATTATTTGCAGTTAAAGTTTTGTATTCTTCTTTATAGAAAAACTAAATTTTATGTAAATACTTGTTTAAACCAGAGAATTCTTGTTAACGCAAATACGTATTCACTTATTTTATTTTATGTTAATATTCCTAAAACAATTCGGGGGCACTGTTTCTGAACCCCTATTATCTTTCATACCACCCTCGCCACTGGCAATGGTCAGAGAATCATTTCTCGGGGAATACCTATGGCTTCTAGATGTGCTTGCCGCCAAAACCCATAGTCTCGGGGAAGATTTGATCCATTTTTTCCTCAAATCAGATATTGCTCGTGAGGTTTGGTGACATTTTGGGAAGATGTTCACATTAGATTAGTCTTTTCACTCCGTAAAGCATGCAAACCTTGGCTCTTAGTTTTGTTAAGTGATATATGAGGAGGGCAAGATGATAAGTCGGATATTATTCATAGAGTACATTACCACATGCAAACCTTGGCTCTTAGTTTTGTTCCCACGCAACATTGTACTAAATTTCAACGATTTCAACTTGAGGCGGAAGGAATTAGCTTGGTGAGTGTTGCTGTCAACAGAGATTGTTGGTATAAATGGGATTTTCCGAATCTGGGGAGAGTATAAGTTGAATATTGATGGTTCGGCGGAAAAATGATTATTAGGCTGACTCCATGAGAGTGGGCTACAAAAGGAGTAGTGAGCTTGGTTGGTTATAGTAAAAGCATTTGGGCCCAAAGTCCAGCATATGAAGAGAGATTTTCAATCAATACACGAGCCACACATAGTGAAAATATATGAAGTAGTTGATTTTCTATTGTCCCTATCATTAGCATATTTATAATCCATATATCGAATTACTTGAAGACCCTCACTAGATTTGAAAAAATAATCTTAAGTTCAAAGACCCTTTCAAATAACGAAGAAGCCATTCAAGCGCTTCCCAATGTAGCATACCAGGAGTTGACATATGTTGGAACCACGGCTGCAATTTGACGATTGATCACGAAACATGTGGATTGAGGCTTGGACTCCATTTGTTCTCCAATTTTATAGGTAACAAGTTGCTGCAGTAAAAACCACGATAATATGGAGATAGGCAAGGTGAGGCGCGGACTAGGTCGCTTTCTTAAGACGAATTTCACGACCCCTTCTCTAATGAGGTGCAAAAAGGTTCCGATCGTGTCGCCTATGGGATACAACAACCCAGCCTATCTCTCCGCTGTAACTTCACCGAAATTGCACGTTCGAGTGAAGTAGAAGCTTACACCCGACACACAACAAGAGCTCTAAATATATGTATATAGTATAGAAGAAAAGTGTTTCTTTTTCTCTTCACTCTCTCTTTTTCATGCAAAGCCACAATACCCCATTTATATAATATATAATATGGCCCCATAAAACCTCAATTGAATATAGAATTTATGGTGTTTTATGTAGGAGAATAATGACTTTGAAAGTTTCAAAATAGTGGTCTAATGACCCTCATAAAAGTGGTCAAAGTCATTATTATATTTTATAATAAAATATAATATTTTTATTAAAATAACCCAACAACATATATCTACTCAAAAAACTAATTGCAATTGCAATATCGAGCTAAACCATAAGATACATATCACTGGTCCAATTGCATTTGAGTAAGGAACTAATATAGATTTCATTACAGATTCGGTCTTAGGCGACTAAGTATTACTTAACAAGAAATGAACAACTAAAGGCACATAAGCAGACTTGGGAGTATTCGTAGAATTTGTTTTCCGAAATCTTTTCAACATGTGAAATTTGATTCAGAAATAAGGTGTGATCATCTCGGTTCCTATCGATATTAATTCCAAGAATTTTCTTGGCATTTCCTAAGTACTTCAAATCAATTGTTCACTTAGACATTTTTTAATATAATCAATTGATTTCATGCAATGACTAGTTAAGAGCATATCATCGACATAAATCAATATAAATATAAGAACAAACAAATTATCCTTAAAGTAAATGCATGGATCATATGCACTTCTTTCAAATTTCAAAAAAAACATACAAGAGTCAAATTTCTTATTTAATTGCCTATGAGATTGTTTCAAGCCATATAAAGACTTTTTAAGCGAACATGCATGTTCACTTTTATTAGGATCTACAAAGCCCTTAGGTTGTTTCATATACATCCTCACTTTTAATTCAACATGCAAGAAAAAAAATTTAACATTCATTTGCTTCATTTTCCAATTATAATGCGCAACTACTGCAAGTATAATGCTAACGATGGCGAAGTTAACTATAGGAGCCCAAAAATTTCAGTATAGTTAACGCCCTCCTTTTGGGTAAAACTCTTAGATACAAGCCTAGGTATATAACAAATAGAATTTACTTCATTTTGTTTCCCTAAACAACCATTTCCAATCGGCTAATGAGCAATTAATAGGATTAAACACAAGAATCCAAATATGGTTTTTTTTTTAGGAATAACTGAAAATTTATTAGGCAATATGAGCCAAGTTCAAAGGCAGAACATTACCGCCAATACAACCAAGATCAGAAGTGGTAGCAATAGCGTGGGCAAGAAGATTTCCCGAACGCTTGACAAAAGCAAAATTGCATAAATTAAAAAGACTAGAAATACGTAAACATTCATCAATGATGGCTCCAAACGATGCTTCGCAGGCATTACGTTCCCGTAGTGCCGTCATAATTTGAAGGTTATCTCCTTCTAGAGTCACAGCCGATGAGCCAAGTTCATGCGCCTTTGAAATTGCATGAAGTGCCGCATGGGCTTCTCCTTCGACAACCTTGGGTCGTCCTTGAACTGTTTTGGCATGCCACCAAAGGCATTTTCCTTGCCAATCACGAGCGACATTTGCCAGAACATAGTAATCTTTCTCCTTGGGAAATGCGACATTAAAGTTGATTTTAATCTCTCCGTGCTCCGGTGGTTTCCAGACGGCTGGGTGCATATTCTCCTTGCTATGAGTGACTCGGATTTGGGCTGCCTTATAAGTATTCAGATAATTAAAACACCAGCTTATTACTTCTGACGTTGGGCTCCCCTCCTCGCCATGCATTACTTTGTTCCAATTATCCCACAATTTCCACATGATAACAATTGCTAGGTGAAAAGTATTGGGATCTAAACTTTGTTGCAGCTGCGTCATCCAAACCCAGGTGGACAGAGGTGGGTTACCAGCAACCTTACAAAACACAGGTGAACGCCATATCTCTTACGATTCGTGGCAGCATTTAATAATATGGAGAAAGGTCTCCGGCACATAACCGCATCGTCGACATAAAGGGTCTGCCACTATTTTCCTCCGATATAACTCCGCTCTCGTTGGTAAAATATTAGAGCAGGCTCTCCAAATAAAGATGCGAATCTTAGGAGGGATAGGAAGATTCCACAAAGTTTCCAATTAATCGTAGTTACCCCGCTAGTCGATTCCCTAGTGGGGGGTCGCCCGCCAGTAATTGTTTGACATCTAGAGAGCAAAGTGTGATAGCATGAATGAACGGTAAACTTGCCATGTGTAGTATAATGCCATATCCATCTATCCTATGTCGTCGAACCTCCGATCGGAACCGCTAATATTCTGTCCTAGTCGATTGGTCATAACCATTCTTCTAAAGCCGCAATATTCCATGAACCTGTATTGGCATCTATCATGTCTGAAACTGTGTTCGGAAAGGAGGAATAAATCGGTCTTTTTGTAAAAACTTGAAAAGCGCCATCGTCGGAGAGCCATGGATCCGCCCAAATAGAAGTAGATTGCCCATTACCAATCCTCATTCTAATTCCCAGCCGTAAATAATCTCGAGCCATCCATATGCTCTGCCATGTCGTCGATGGGCGCCTCCCAATATCAGCCGTAAGCACATCGCAACGGGGAAAATAGCGAGCTTTCAAAATATTAGAGAGCAGAAGATGGGGCTGAGTCAAGATCCTCCAGACTTGCTTGGCCAGCAACGCAATATTGAACCATTTCATGTCCCGAAAACCTAATCCTCCGTCGACCTTTGATTTGCATAGTTGGTTCCACGCCAACCAGTGAATTTTTCGGTTCTCACCATCACCCCACCAGTACCTTCTGATAGCTGTTTCCATTTCCTTGAGGATACTATCCGGAAGCAAGAAACAACTCATAATATATGATGGGATCGCTTGCAAGACTGCCTTGATTAAAACCTCTTTCCCGGCTTGTGAAAGTTGCTTCTCGCCCCATCCTTTGATTTTGGACCAGATCCTATTCCGGAGAAAAGCAAAAATATCTTTCCTCGATCGGCCCATGTTAGCGGGCATACCCAAATACTTTTCGTGTCGATCAACAATTTGAAACCCCAAGATTTGCTGAATTGCGTCTCGTCTCTCCTGTGTAGTCGTTGGGCAGAAATTCATCGTTGATTTTTCAAAATTGATCACTTGCCCATAAGTTCTTGCGTATTTATTCAAAATGGTTTGAAGAGTGGTAACATTCGCCTCCGTTGCTTGGCAGAAAATAAGAGTATCATCGGCAAAACAGAGATTGGAAATAACCGGGGCCGATGGCGCAACCTGTACACCTTTTAATTCGCCGTGCTCAGTTGCTTTTTGAATCATTGCAATAAATGCTTCTGCACAACAAATGAATAGATATGAGGAAAGGG